ATATATTTTTTTTTTTTGGAGACAGGATCTCACGAAGTCACTAAATTGCCCAGGCTGGGCCTGATCTTGAGATCCTCTAATCTCAGCCTCTTAGATGCTGGGATTCAGACAGGTACCACTATGCCCAGCTGTCACAGTTTTTATATTATTAAAGCATTGGATATAACTTCAGTTGTCTATCAAAAGGGATTTGGTTAAATAAATTATGATACATACTTCATAAACTAGAATATTAAATAACCATGTTAGATGTTGTTAAAGATTCACTATTAAAATTTGATTTATAAATATCATTTAGTACTGTATCCCTAAAATGTACCAATAAACTCAATTAAAGCTGAAAAAAAATAAATATCATTTAACTTATACAAAAGAGACTCATCATCAAAAATCACAAGTCTAATATTAAACACTATCTCTGTGTAGCAGTTTCCTGTTCAAGCGGAATGATGTACTTTACCAGGTCAGTATAAGACGGGTGCTGACTTGCATCAGTTTGTCAATCTCAGGAAGCATACATATTAGCTGTCAGCTAGCTGGTGACATATTTGATATGACAAATGTATTTTGTTACACGGTGAAATATATGGTCTCCTTTTCTAAGCCAAGACTAATATTTTGTTTCCAAAGGAAAATTCAAACATTTTCCACATTATTCTTTCTGGGCAGATATGGGTTTTGTTCCAAAATCAACACTTATAGGTTCTCTTTTTTTTTCCTTATCAAACTTAAAATAGGCCAGATAGTTTTATGACTCTCTTTTGTTTGTTTGTTTTTTTTGTTTTTGTTTGTTTGGTTTTTTTTTTTTGGTACTGGGGATCGGACTTGGGTCCTTTGGATTGCGAGGCAGGCAGTGGAACCACTGAGCTAAATCCCCAGCGTTTGGTTAATTTTTAAGAGATGTTACTTAGTGTGATATCTTAATGTTGGTACACTAAATGGTAGCACAACTAATATTATTCCAGAGAAATCCTAACTCAGGCTTTTGTCAAATCTTGGTAAAGCTGACATCTTCCAGAGATGTATTATAGTCTAAATTAATTCATTTTGTCCTGCTTTTCATATAAAATGTAAATCCACATATTCTTCCTAGAGTGAATAATTGATTAAATTGACTTTGTTTTTAAATTCTTATATGTCTAGCAATCCCATAGAATCTTTTCAGAATGATGAAAGTAGAACTGGAATACTTTGTATTGATTATAATATAAAGTTATTCACTCAATTTTAACATGCATTTAGATATATAAATGTTCACATATAGTAATGGTGTAATTAACTTATGTTATTCAAATAAATAAAGAATTTACATGTAAAACTTCCTAATTTAATGTAAAAATTTCATAAGGTTAATGTGAGCTAGTAACCTAATTTCTTATTTTTTATGTTTAAGAACACGTTGTTTAAAGCTTTATTTACTCCCCTAGCTCATTCTTCATACATTTTGCATAAGATTATTTATGTTTACCATCTCATCCACTTTTGAAATATTTTTCCTACAGTTATGCAGAAGGCATGGAGAGAAAGAAATCCTCCAGCTCGAATCAAAGCAGCCTATCAAGCTTTAGAATTAAACAATGAGTAAGTTTTAGATATATGAAAAATAAGTTTGTTTTAAAGAAACTCAGGCAAATGGTTTTACATTTTCTTTTGTCTGTTTCTAAGACACTTAGTCATTAGTGTCACCTTTTTTCTTTTTGCATTCTAGAGATAAAATTTGCAGTGTTCATTGACATTTGTATTTTGCTTCTGAAACTGTAAATGTATGTTTTTAAGTAGAAATTATGTTAGGGATTCTGTTAAAAATGAGAATACTGATGGAGAAATGATAATTGTTAAAAGGGTACTAACATACTTATATCACTGTTTTAATTTGGTTTTTCATTTAAAGTATTCATTCAGTCTTCCAAACTTTAGTTGTTAATGGACCTGGTGGCATAAGAGGATTCAAAATAAGTAAACTGTAGCTCTGTCAACTTAATTGCCTTTTCATGTTAACAGCCCTTATTTTTGTATCTCTTTGTATCAACTTTATATTGAGAAGATAAAAATGTAAAATCATGAGTTAATTTAGTATTTACGTGGGACACATTAATAAATATTAATTAAATACATACAAAATAAATGGGAGCACAAATATAGTCCCGATTATGGTCACTCAAGGAGTGCTTCCCCGATAATGTGAATTTAGAGTTTTCCTCTGAAAACTCCCAGTAGATACATTATTCTCATTAAGAACTTCCAGAGGTGAAGCAAAAATGGGCAGAGGAATGAACTCCAAAATGAGTGAATACACTGACCAGAACTGTGATAATGAAAATAGTCAAAAGTTTACAATAACCCGATGAATGCTTAATTGGGAAAAATTACTAAATTTCTGTAAGAGAGCTCTATGGTTTTTTTTTAAAACTTACCCTAGCCCCATCCTCCACTGCCTAGCTGTATGGCAGCCTTGACAACAGCGCACATTCCAAGTGCAGGTTTCCAGTTCTGGAAGAAGTAAAATGGACCTTATTCTCAAGGAACTGTGGTCATTTTGACCTGTGGGGTGGTTTCCTGAAGGACCACCTCAAAGGGCTTGCCTTTAGTTCAACTAACTTGAACTTCTCTCAGCATTGTTTACTGCTCTTGAGGAACACTTATTGGCAACATTTACAGGCAGATATATTAGCCACTGTACCTAGAATAAGGGATCACAGCTGTGGCGGGCAGGGGAGAAATAGACAAACAAGAAGATTTATATGACATTTAGGGGAAATACAGATTCTTTTGTTGTTTTTAGGTACCTGGGATCGAACTTGGCTCCTTGTGCTTGTGAGGCAGGTGGTGACACCACTGAGCTAAATCCCTGGCTAAAGAAAATAAAGATTTTGAAAAGATCCCATACATTCCTGGGAATCTCAGAGGCTCTACACTTGGCTAGAGTTGGGCCATGCTCAGAAAAGACTTGAAAACACCTGATGTTCTTCTGTCTGGCTAATCTTCAGATTATGTACAAGCAGGAAGTGAAGGCTAGGGCAGAGTTGTAAACTGCCTGACTGAATGTTGAAATTGTGCCCCAGCACACAAACACAAAGAGCCCACAGCAAGGACTTGTTTTTGTGTATGTGTGCATTTTATTTATGTTTTGGTTTTGCTGTTAGAGAACTCACTATCAAAACATTAACTGACTACTAAGCTGAGAGCACAGACCTCATTGGCCACATATGGCAAAGAACACAGATCTTAACAGAATTGGCTCAAGAAAATCACTAAACAAACAACTACAATCAGCAGCAACAAAAATGGAATGGAGGTAATTTGCTTTCTAGATTTGCCAGGATCTATCTATATATCTATCTATCTATGGTCCATATACCAGAAAGAAAAGAAATTAATAGAAACTGTCCCTGAAGAAGCTTAGTTTGGACTCCATAGAATTTAAATAAACTCCTTAAAATATGTTCAAAGAGGTAAAGAAAATCATGAGGATGATGGGCTCAGATTAGAAACCAATAAAGAGAAAGACATGATAGAAAGAAATTAAGTTGAAAATTTAAAATTAAAAGGTATAATTGAAATGAAAAATTTACTGTAGGAGTTCATTAGTAGAGTTGAGAAAGAATCAGCAAACTTGAATAAGGTCAATTGAGACTACATAGTCTAAGAAGCAGGAAAAAAAATAAAGGAATGAAGAAAAATCTAAGAGACCTTTGGGACACTAACAAATATCCCTACCTGTGCATAATGGGAATCCCAGAAAAGAGAGAAAAGAACAGAAATCATATTTTAGGAAATAATGGCCTAAACCAGAATCCTAGTACACCAAATCCAGAAGCATCATGAAAGCATTATATGCCCTGACCAAGTGGGTTTTATTCTTGGAATGCAAGAATGATTCCACATATAAAAATTCATCTGTGTAGTTTACCACATTAACGGAATGAAGGAAGGAATCTACATGGTCATCTCAATGCAGAAAAAGTATTTGACAAAAGCCAACACACCTTCACGATAAAAAATACATAAGAATCAATTAATGGTCAGGCAAAGTAGTGCCCATCTGTAATCCCAGCATTGGGAGGCTGAGGCGGGAGGATTGCTGTGAGTCCAAGGCCAGCCTGAACTCCATAGCAGATCCTGTCTCAAAACAAAAATAATGTAATATACTGATAGAAAAAGGTTTTTAAAATGTGATTATCTCAATTGATGCTGAAAAATTGATAGAATCCAGCACCATTTTAAAAACACTAAGGAATCTTTCTTAACCCAATAAAGAGCATCTATGAAAAATCTACAGCTAATTACTGTATATGCTTAATGATGAAAGACTGAAAGATTTCCAAGATCAGAAATAAAGCTGGGATGTCTGCCCTTACTGCTTCTATTTAGCTTGATACTAGAGGTTTTACCCAGGGCAGTTAGGCAAGAAATAGAAAAAAAAAGGTAAAGAAGAAGTAAAACTATCTGTGTTCACAAATAAGATGATCTTATATTCACAAAATTAAAGAATTCATGCAGAAAAAATAAACCCTATAAGAACTAATAAAATATTTAAAAATGGGTTGGAGATGTAGCTCAGTGAGTAGAAAGAACATTTGCCTAACATGTGTGAAGTCCTGAGTTCTATCAGTACTAGAAAAGAAAAAAAAATAGTTAAAAATGTTGCAGAAGACTAGCTCAATATATAAAAATTAGCTGGGGCTGGGGATATAGTTCATGGTGCAGTGTCTACTTCTCAAGGTGAGTCCCTAAGTTTGATTCCCAGTACATAAAGAAAAAAAGAAAGAAAAAGCATCAGAACTATTAAAATACTTAGGATTAAATTTAAAGAGGTATAAGGATTATACAGTGAAAAATAAAAAACATTGTTCTACAGTTAAAGAAGACCTAAATAAATAGAAAGACATCCTCTGTTCATGTCCATACTCACCCATTCTGATCTATAGATTCAGTGCAGGAGACTGATGCAGAGGCTTGCATGTCCAAGGCCAGCCCGGTAACTTAGCAAGACCCTGTCTCAAAACAAAGAGGCTAGGGATTTAGCTCAGTGGTAGAGCTCTTACACTGTTTGGATCCAGTCCCCACCACTAAAACAAAACAAAACAAAACAACAAAAAACAAAAACTTAAAAATAAAAAACAAACCTGTAGCACATCTTCATGATCTTGGATTTTGCAGTGGCTTATTAGATTGGACCTCAAAAACAAAAGGGATAAAAGAAAAACAGATAAATTAGATTTTATCAAACTTAAAATAAGTCGTACATTAAAAGATACTATCAAGACAAAATAGATTTGTGATTGCCAAGGATTGAGGAAATAGGGAGATGGGGAATGACTGCTAGGAGGATGATGAAGATATTTTGGAGATCTTAGCAGTGATAGCTGCATAATGCTGAAAATATATTAAAAGTCTCTGAATTATACACTTCAAAATGTTCTAAACTGTGAATTTTGGTATGGGAATTCAACATAAGTTAAGAAAATGTCATTCCCTAAAATAAGATCTATTAGGAATTTGTAATTCAAGAAAGCCTCAAGGGAAGAAAAACCTCTTTGTACCATGCAGCTGTAATATCATTTAAAATTATACAGGCCAGGGATTTAGCTCAGCGGTGCTGCCACCTCCCTCACAAGGTAATGTTCTGAATTCAATCCCTGGCACCCCCCCACAAAATTTACATTTAGGGGCTGGGCTGTAACTCAGTGGTAGCATGCTTGCCTAGCAGACATGAGCAAGTCCCTGGTTTCAGTTCCCAACACTTAAAATGTTAAGTAATAAAATTGTTTATATTTATATTCTATTGCATCACTTTTTATCCAGATCTTTTTTTTTTTTTTGGACCAGGGATTGAACTCAGGACCTTGTGCTTGCAAGGAAGGCGTGATGCTACTGAGCTAAATCCACGCCCCACCATCTAGATCTTTTGAAAAATATTTTTTATGGTTATTTAAAGACATTTGATTATTATATCATTAGGATCTTATGTACCATTATAGTTTTTCACACCAGAGAAACTATTCGATATTTACACATGTGTGATTTATTTATTTCACTTAGGAGTATATCCTCAATATGTATCCATTTTCCCATGAATGAATCTAATTTCTCATTCTTTATTGCTGAGTAGTACTCCATTTTATAGAAAAACTACATCTTTATCCAGTCTCCAACTGATGGGCAAATGGGCTGTTTCCAAGTTTTAGCTATTACAAACTGTGCTGCTATAAACATAGGTGCGCATATATCACTGTGATATGATTCTTTTAATACTTTTGGAAAGATACCCAGCAGAGGGATGCCTGGGTCAAATGGAACCTCTAGTCCCAGGTCTTTGAGGTATCTCCATATTGATTTCCATAGTGGTTGCACGAGTCTACACTCCCTCCAACAATGGAGAAGGGTTCCTTTCTCCCTACAACCCCACCAACATTTGTTATTGCTTGATTTCTTGATAGCAGCCATTCTTTGTGGGCTGAATGTGAAATAGGAAGAAAAGGGCTAAAGGTGTAGGGAATGTGGGAACGGTAGGGGAAAGGTTATAAGGGAAAAGAAAAAATATGAGAAAATGAAAAAATGGAAATAAAGTGTTTGTAAATAGGAAGGGGAGGAGGGGATGAAGGGAGGGCAGGGACAAGGGGAAAAAATGAGAACCAAGACCTGTCATGTAAAGGTACAAGATCCCAATGATGAATGTAACTGTACTGTATACCTAAAATGTACCAATAAACTCAATGAGAAAAAAAAAAGACATTTGACCTTGTTTTTGGAAATGGCAGTCAGAATGCCTGGTGTTTGAAGGAGACGTATATCTTATGTTTTAGAAAAAATCCAGTATAATATATTGGAGGAATCTTTGCTGATTAGTGAAATTATCATATAGTTTAGATATACTGTTCTGAAGGCTAAGTGGTATAATTTGACCCCTATTGATCCTAATTGATGATAGTTATTTTACCATCACTTTTGTTTTGTGCCTGCTCTTGTACCACCATTTCTTCTGCTTAGCTCTGTTCAATTGAAATATAATGTGAACCATGTATGTAACTTTAAATTTTCTAGTATGTAGTCATATTTAGAAAGTGAAAAAAGAAATAAATTTGAAGTGTTTTCTTTAGCTATATTTATTTAGCTTGAACATATAAGTATATTTTTAAAAACTATTGTTAAACAGCTTCTCATCACTGTGACCAAATACCTGAATAAATCAAGAGGAAATGTTTATTTTGGCTTCAGTTTCTGAGGTTTCTGTCCATAGTTGTCACTTAGCCCTGTTGCTTGTAAAGCCTGTGGTAAAGGAGAAGCATCATGGTAGAACTGTAAGACAGTGGAAAGCTGCTGATCTCAAGACAGCTAGGAAAGAGAGACAGAGAGAGAGAGAGAGAGACAGACAGACAAACAGACAGACAGACAGGAAAAGAGCCAGAAAGGAAAGGAGCCAGGGAAAAGACACACCATTCAAATACATGCACTCAGTCTCATGCACTCCTGATAGCCGGTTCGGCTCGAACTAACTCATCAGTAGCTAGCATCCTCTTGGTCCAGTCACCTCTCTAGACCTCATCTCTGCACATGTGAGTCTTTGAGGGACATTTTAGATTCAAATCATAACAGCTATTAATGAAATAGTTCTACATTTTTCTTTTTTTTTCTTTTTTTATTGAGTTTATTGGTACAATCTAGGTATACAATACAGTTACATTCATCATTGGGATCCTGTACCTTTACATAATAGATCATGATTCTCATTTTTCCCCTTATCTCTGCCCTCCCTTCACCCCCTCGCTCTCCCCATTTACACACACTTTTTTTCCATTTTTTTCAGTTTCTCATATTTTTTCCTCTCCCTTATTACCTTTCCCCCACCCTTCCTACTTTCCCTACACCTTTAGCCCTTTACTTCCTATTTCACATTATTAATTATCTCATTATAGTTTAAACTATAAGAGTACACAGGATCCTAATGAATTTAAACTATAATAGTACACAGGATCCTAATGAGTTTAAACTATAATAGTACACAGGATCCTACTGAGATAATTAATAATGTGAAATAGGAAGTAAAGGGCTAAAGGTGTAGGGAAAGTGGGAAGGGTGGGGGAAAGGTAATAAGGGAAAGGAAAAAAATATGAGAAACTGAAAAAATGGAAATAAAGTGTGTGTAAATGGGGAGGGGGAGGAGGGGGTGAAGGGAGGGCAGGGATAAGGGGAAAAAATGAGAATCAAGACCTCTTATGTAAAGGTACAGGATCCCAATGATGAATGTAACTGTATCGTATACCTAGATTGTACCAATAAATCAATAAAAAGAAAAAAAAAGAAATCTCTGTATGAACATTAAAAATAGAGAATCCTAAAATAAAACTAAAAAGGAAAGTAAAAGAGAAAAGGCAATGATGTAACATGAAAATAATCCTTAATTCTGAAGATGAAAATGGTCCCTGAACATATTTAAATTGCTTCTTGCTCTTATAGTCTTATCTTATTCTTTTTTTCATTATTTAGAGAATACTTTATTAGTTTCTGTAATCAAACACTGAACATATTTAAATTGCTTCTTGCTCTTGTAGTCTTATCTTATTCTCTTTTTTTCATTATTTAGAGAATACTTCATTAGTTTCTATAATCAAACCCATGTAGATATGACCTTACATATTAAAAGGTTCTACATTTTTCTTAGTCTTCAAAATTCCATGTTCCTTTGACAGTTATGTCACATCTCAATTCAGACAGCAACATGTGGCTCGTGACTAGAATGCTGGATCATGCAGGCCTTGATAAGCAGAACTAACACACTATCTCCTGAAGAGATGTACTTGTTATTTCTGGGAATAGAAGGGAAACTTGCTGTTTCTATTTTTTATTTTTTGCACAAAAACAAGAATTAGTTCATCTTATTAGCCAGCTGTTAACTTAAAAGATACAAGGAAAATCTCTGGTTTAGTAGGGTGCAGAAAAATTGGAGTAGGCATAGGTATAAGAAAACAGAGTAGATAGAAGGAAGGAGTAGAATTCAGACCAAGGGAAGTTATGCTGCATTTGGAATTTTTAAAAGATTGAAAATAAAGAGTAGAATAGAAAGAGTGGAAAATTATGGAACTAGACGTAATGAATATATCAGAATAAATTAAAATATTGAAATGTTTTCTTTTTTTTGTTGTTGTTCAAGAAATGGAAAGTGTTGGTAAGTGTAAAGGAAACATGATATAAAGCAAGGGGTATATCCAAGAGAAAATTCTTGCTTTACCATTTTTACTTAAAATTGCCTTGCCTGTTTTCTTCATAGCTGTGCCACTGCATATGTTCTACTGGCTGAGGAAGAAGCAACAACTATTGTAGATGCTGAAAGGTTATTTAAACAGGCACTCAAGGCAGGAGAAACGATTTATAAACGGTCACAGCAGTGCCAGCACCAAAGTCCTCAGCATGAAGCTCAACTGAGTAAGAAAATTTGAACTGATTTTTACTGTCTTTTACCTCCTATAATTGGATCTTTTATGGTTAAAATGCAAAACAGTAATTAAAAATGTTTAATATAGAGGGGTTAGCTAATTTTCATAATATATAACTAAGATTTGTTATTTCTAATCTATGAAGCATGTAAGCCACCAAGACAGAAATATATATTAGCCAGAGAATGCTTGTGGAAAAGAATATATCTTCTGTGGTTATTGAGAGGAAATATGCTGTTCTGAGACTTAACAATAATTTATTTTATGCAAGAATTGGGGTGGTCATTAGAGAAACATAAGTCAAAAAAACAAGATTCAGAAGAATCTTCTAGTGATGATAATTAGAATTATGAAGATCCTATTGATGACGTCTTACCTTTATTTTCAGCTTCACTCAAAACAGTAGTAGAGGCACATCCCCAACCTTCTGCCCAGGCATGTCATTTTGTTTGCTCTTTAGTCTTTTTCACACCATCTGATTCTAGGTACAAAATTCAACCTTATTTGTGACTGGTTCTTTTTCTGGTTTATTTTTTTCCACAATATACTTAGGATCAGATGGACCATAACAAGTAAAGTTTTCTTTCCATTCTTAGGGATGCTTTCTGGGTTACAAATGAGACCTTTTTTTTTTTTTTCAATTTGGTTTTTTTGAGACAGGATCTCACTATGCAATTCAGGCTGGCCTTGAACTCACTATGTAGCCCATGCTGATCTTGAACTTGTGGCAGTTCTCCTGCCTTAGCCTCCAAAATGCTGACATTACAAGCATCCACTACACCTGGCATAAGTGAGACATTTTTACCAAAGATACTAGAATCAGCAGTGTTGCTGCTCCTTGCTTTTTCTGTGTGTGTGACTAGTGAGTTTTAGTTTCATGATTTTGGCAAATGATGGACAATAAATTGAAACATGTTTATATAATGCATTGTCTATTACCAGATAAGTGATGAATGCTTCTAGAAATTAAAATTTGGATAATGATTTCTCTCTAAAATATTGGTGAATACAGTATGTTTCATTACTGTATGTTGTTACACACAACTGTGGGAATTTTTTTATTTTGCAGCCTGGAGTTCCATTTTCTTTCTCATTTTTACCAGATGTAATGAAACTACATGTGTAAAATGGCATGCCATTTGTCCTTGTGTAAGATCAAGTATTATTATTTTATTATCCCTTTCTAGAAAGTTTAATAATTTTTTAGTTACTAGCTATTAAGAAAAATTACTGCTCATGAAAATTTCATTTTGGGAGTTTTGAATTTTTCAACTAAAACAAAGAGAATGTTATTTTATAGATTGTTTATGTTAAGTAAGCTAATGTTATATCTCTACTAATATATATATATATATATATATTTACTTTCTGTGAATATTAAAATTAATGGGGACAGGGCTTTAGCTCAGTGGTTCCGCCACTTACCTTGCAAGTGCAAGGACCTAAGTTTGATCCCCAGTACCAAAAAAAAAAAAAAAGAAAGAAATTAATGTGCCAGCTACAAATTACTTTTTGTATACTGCCCTTGGATTTCTATGACATGCAAAAGTAATTCAATATATATTTTAAGCTTTTAATACAGAAAACTTCAAACATACACAAAAGTAGAGAGAACTACCATTCAATATTTATCATCCAAATTAAAAAATCACAATCATTAATATTCTTCCATTCTGCCACAATTTAAATTTTTTCTTTTTTGGTATTGGGGATCAAACCTTGCACTTGCAAGGCAGGCAGTGGTACTACTGAGCTAAATCCCCAGTCCTGTCACAATTTAATTTTAATTTAATTCTCCAGAGTAAGCAAATAAAGTTAATAGATAATAAATATGTTAATGAAATATCAGGCCATAACACAAAAGTGATAGCTGTATCATTTTTTTTTATAAATAGGAAGAGATACCAATGTACTAGTATACATTAAAAGAAGATTGGCTATGTGTGCAAGAAAATTAGGAAGAATAAGAGAAGCAGTAAAAATAATGAGAGATGTAAGTAAATGTGATAACTGAACTATTATATTTTTTCTCCAAAATCTAAAAATGTAGTTTAAGTTGGCAGTTATATTAGTACAGAATCATTTTTAATTGCAATTATTATACCAAAGTATTTAATATACATATATTTCTTAAGGTTTAAGTCTCCAGCTTTATAAAAAAGCAAAATAATTTCTAGTTTAATGAATCTGTTTAGCTCTTTTGTGTTCCTCTGTTATGATTTTATTTTTTTCTTTTAATATACAGTTGATGAAAGAATTTCCTCCTCTTACCATGTTGAACATCCATGAAAATCTATTAGAATCACTTTTAGAATTACAGGCCTATGCAGATGTTCAGGCAGTCCTAGCAAAATATGATGGTGAGTTTTAATTGTTTTAGTTGATAACATGATTACAGTAATCTTGTTTTAATTATGTATTTATAAATATGATTCTGTTCTAGTATTTTTCTAATTTTCTTTCTCTTTTTACCAGTCAATATTTAGTATGCATGAATACAATTGCTAGTAAGTGTCTTCATTATCAGGACTTATAGCAGCAAAAGCCTACAGGAAGTAATTTTCTTCTGTCAAAGTTTATTCTTTTGTTATATTAAGTAATAGTGTGAGGCACTTGAACACAATACTGAACAGGACAATATGGCCTTAGCCCTTGTAGGATTTAAAAGTTCAGTGTAACATGGACAAATGAACAGCAATTACATTGAAAGCTTGTTAGGTAAGATAATTAGAAAAGCATCGGTGCTGTATACCTAGTCAAGTATGTTTTTTGTTTTGAAGAATCAAGGAAGGCTAGTTGAAGTTGCTTAACAGCTTTTTTTTTGTATGGGGATAGAACCTGGGACCTTGTGCTGTTAAATGCTTAACAGTATTTAAGAGCAATTCAGAATAACATTTTTACAATGATTTTTAGTTACAAATCATAATTTATAATCTCATGTGATTTTTATAATAATCTTATGAGGTACTGGTAGGATAAGTATTTTTACTCTTTCCAGTTACAGTACTAAATTAGGAAACAAGTTTAAGGTTAAATATTGAATAATATCTCCTAGCTAGTAAATACCTAAATCCAAGTATTCTGCTTCTTTGTTCACTAGTCTTCCATTAACAACAATTTAATTTACGTGGGCTGTTTTTTGTGGGGGCGAACTGGGGATTGAACTTGGGTCCTTGCGCTTGCAAGGCAGGCCAACAAACCGCTGAGCTAAATCCCTGGCCCTTACATGGGCTGTTTTTATTATTATGCTATAACTGTTTACTGCAAATGAAATTGGGAGAATTTTAAAGACACATGGACTTCTTCTCATTTAGAGTAAGACATCAGCTTTTAACTCCAAGGTGAAAGCTCCATGACAAACGCAATGTTTCTGGTCATATCTTTCATTATAACAATACATATAAGTCACTTAGTCATACTTGTCCTGTTGTAGGTTCCTACCCATTAGCTTGGGAATCCTTATGAGTTGGAAAGTTTGAGATGTGTTATAGTTGGAAAGGGAAGTTTATTTCTTTTAAACATCTGGAATTCTTAGGCAGTGCTTCAGTATAATGTAAGCTCATAGAGAAATTTGTGAGAAATTCTTTCCATGTGTAACTTACTGAGTGCATAATCATGATACTTGTGCCAAACAAGCTTAGGGACTAAATGTAAAAAATCAGAATAGGACATGCTTCATTAAAAATAAAATAAAACTAAAATTAATAAAGCCTAAGTTGATCTTCTATGTTCAGTTTTCGTGAGTCTTATTTTTACCTTTCCTTTATCCTGAAGTGTAGCTGAAAGCATATTTACTTTCTTAGTTCCCAATTTGCTAGTGTAACAGTGGAATTGAAAACACCAGGGGAGTTCATCAGTATTACTCTTCTTATAGCAATAGTTTAGGCATTCTTTTAAAAAAGATTTTTATTGCTTATTTATAATACAATATTAATTTTTCATTAAAAAAATCATCAGGGCTGGGGATTTAGATCAGTGGTACTTCACGTGCCTCACAAGTACAAGGTCCTGAGTTCAATCCCCGGTACCAAAAAAAAAAAAAAAAAAAAGATCATTTAAGAAAACATAGACAATATAAAATCTAAGTCAGGCATACTGGATCATGCCTGTAGTCCCAGCACTTGGGAGACTGGAGCAGGAGAATGGCTTTGAGTTCAAGGTCAGCCTGGACTACATAGTAAGTACAAGGCTAACCTAAACAACATAGTAGCAAGATTCTGTATCCAAAGACAAAAAATTAAAAAGTAAGAAAATGGAAAAATAAAAATCACCTTTATTTTTAAATTTTTAAATGTAGAATCTTTAAATTTTAAATTTTTTTCTCAGTATTCCCTCTTTGAATAGGTGGAGATTTTTTACATAGTTCTAATTATGCTATGACTTTGAATAGTCTTACTGTAAGCAGATTTTTTGTTTTATTTTATTTTCTATTTTTTTGGTACTGGGGATCGAACTCGGGTCCTTCCTTGTGCTTGCGAGGCAGGCGCCGAAACCATTGAGCTAAATCCCCAGGCCCCCCGCCTTTTGGTACCGGGTATCAAACTCAGGCCCTTGTGCTTGTGAGGCAGGTGGTGGAACCACTGAGCCAAATCCTTGGCTGTAAGCAGATTATTATAAACATTTTTTTATCCTTTGTCACCATAACACAGAAGGCTTTTATATGCATAATTGAATTTCTGCCAGAAAGTATGATTCTCTGTTTTGAAAAGAGAAAACTGAGATCAAAGAAGTTGCTACTAGCTGGGGATACATAGCTAGTATGTAGTAGAATAAAGGTTGAAGCTCAGGTCTTTGAACAATGTTTCCAGGTGCTTTTGCCATCCACTATAAGTTATTCTTATAATCTTTAAGACATTTTTGCAAATAACTGCAAATTATTATTACAGATATCAGCCTTCCAAAGTCAGCAGCAATCTGTTACACAGCAGCACTGTTGAAAACAAGGACTGTTTCAGACAAGTAAGTAATTATGAAAACTACAATAATTGGGAAAGATTGCTAGATTCAATGTTGCTTTTCCTCTACTGACTTTAAAAAGTGCTGTTTTTCCTCTGTTCTTCCTTCTAAATAACTCTTGATCTTTGGTGACTTTGAGGCTTCTCATTGTGTGTGGTGGAAAAGTTTTTAGAATTAAGTAATCTGGGTCTTAAATTCAAACTCTACCACATACTAGCCATAGAAGTTTGGCCAAGTTCTTTTTCTCATAATGTAGAATGGTTCTGTGAGATATGTATATTAATTGCCTAAAACAGTGTCTAGAAAGAAAATGGAGCTGTAATAGTTGGTATGATGATAAGGTGTGTAGAAGGGAAATAGGTTTCATGTTGTTTGTTCTTAGATTATACAGGAATTGAATTACTATGCTTCTCTTATAGTTTTGACTCCCCTTAAGGTATTATCTTTATTTTATAGATAAGATATTCAGAAACTGAATGGGTGCCTTGGCAGTACACTGCCTCAAAAACAAACAAACAAAACCAACCAGATACTCAGAAACCAAACACGTGGTGGCTATTTTCTTTCATTTTAGATTACTATGACTTGATAAGAATGAAATATCTGGTCTGTTTCTTCTGGGATAAAAATTTGATTAAAAATACTATACTTTCATTTTATAGAATTTCTTACTGTACAACTCTCCCCACAAAGGCTTTCTTTACCTAAATTTGAAGATTTTTATTCTTTGTGCTACATTGTTTTATATATCAAAACAGAAGATTTTACTTTCATTTTTAGTAGTTAGCTGGTTTTGTCTTTGGTCAATCCAAGAAACCTCTTTAATTCAGAGGACTACATTGTGATCTAAATCTACAATTTTTTCCTTTATTGGTGTATTCATTTCTTCATTTCTTGGTTTTCTTACAGATTCTCTCCAGAAACAGCCTCCAGAAGAGGGTTAAGCACAGCAGAAATTAGTGCTGTGGAAGCAATCCATAGAGCTGTGGAATTTAATCCTCATGTTCCAAAAGTGAGAAATTTTGTGATGAAAATATTACTTTTATTTTAAATTCATCAAATTGATAACAGTGTGTAGATAAATGAGGCAGAACTGTTTTAGTCTGCTGTATTTTGATGCTTACTAGTCACCTTAAAAGAGATGTTAAAAGGCATTTAGAAAAGTGCATAAGAGCGATATTTTATCATAGACTTTGTAAGTGCTGTTAAAAATTTTTGAACTATGTTTATCATTTAGCTTTTTTTGTTTTGTGTTGTGGTGCTGGTTGGGGATTGAACCCAGAACCTGGTGCATGCTAGGCAAGTGTTGGGTCCTGAGCTACACATTGTCCCACTTAGCTACTCTTATTATAGGTACAGTGAAGAAACAGTAAAAAATGGCTTGGTCTTGATAAAAAATCATTTATATTTCAGATCACTAAACAGAATTTCCTGCTATTGTAAAAGCCTTTTCTATATAGATTCTTGGGTTTTAAGCTAGGGCTAAGTAGACAAAACTGAAGACATATAGATTAAAACAATCCATGATAGGAAACAAATGCATGTAGAAGTTTCCAGGAAAACTAAAACTACCTGCTTCATTTGCTTATCTATTATACACCACAAATTATCAGTTAATCCTTGTGTATTATTACTCAAATACCTAAGCACCCAAAACCCAAGATTACAGTCTGTGTGTTACAAACAGTGCCTCCAAGTTAGGAACATGTAATATCTAAGGACCTGAGTTCAATCCCCAGTAAAAAAAAAATAAAAAAAATAAAAATAAAAAAATAGATGGCTGGGATTGTAGCTCAGTAATAGAGCATTTGGCTATCATGTGCAAGGCCTGTGTTTGATCTCTGCTATTGAAAAAAAATTGATGCCCTTACTACAAAATATACCCTAATGCTAGAATAGTATGTGTTAATAGAATTTGGAAGCTAGTAGACAGTAAAGAGATTATTCTGTGAAAGATAATCTCTAAGTGGTAGAGCACTAGCCTAGCATGTTTAAGGGGTTTGATCTGCATTGCTACAAAAATTTAAAAACAAAAACAAAACAAAAAAACCACAAAGCTACTATTTATATCAACAAGTATTTATATTATTCTTACAAGTGAAACTGGTTTTATAAATTTAAAATTTTAATGTGAAATAATACACATGCAGCAAAATGTACAAAACAGAAACTTGAATTTTAATGATTAATTGTAAAGCAAATGCTTGATGGTATAATCACTCTACTCTGGGTGGCTGAAGCAGGAGGATCCCAAGTTTGAGCCCAGCCCAGGCAGCACAGCAATTTGGTGAGAACTTGTCTCCAAAAATAGAGAAGGACTGGGATATAGTTCATTGCAGAGGCCCTGAATTCAATCCCTAATACTGAAAGAAAAAAAAAGCAATGCTTGGAAACTACCACTGAGGTAAGAAAATAGAGCACTGTCCTGTGCCCAGAAGCCCAATGACAACCCTTTTCCAATTAAAACTGCCTGATTCCTACCTAAACATAACTGCTATTCTGACATTAATTATGCACACTTCTTCCTTTTCTTTATATTTTTGTACTCTACTTTCCCTTTATTACTCTTGTTAAAAACATGTTAAAGGCTGCTATCTGTCTATTTCTTTGTCTCTCTTCAGTCTCTGGAATAACTGGTATAGGGCTGGAGATTGTAGTTCAATGACAGAGCACTTGCCTATGTTCAGTTCCCCAGGACTGAAAGAAAAATTCTTTGTATAAAATTAGATCCATTTCTGTCTTAAATGATTAGTAAAATTTTGTGGAAAAGCCATCTAATCCTGGAGATTTCTTTGTAGGAAGTTTTAAGTTATGAATTTTACTTCAGTTTAATGTTAAATTACTAGTATAATTTAAAAAAATAATCTAATAACTATTAAAATTTTTGTTTGTTTGGTACCTGGGATCGAACTCAGGACCTTGTGCTTGCAAGGTAGGCAGTGGAACCACTGAGCTAAATCCCTGGCCCTAAAATTTTTGTTCTTATTGATTTTTGTAAGTTGTATGTCTCTAAGAATTATTTCCTCAGTCTTTTCAAATATGTTGGCACGAAGTCAGAAAATATTTTTATTATGTTTGTAGGATCAATTGTAATATCTTTCTTTTGGAGACATGGTCATTATGTAGTTCAGGCTGGACTTGAATTTGTGAGCCCCTGAGTGTTGGGATTACAGGCATGTACCACCGAACCCAGCTTTGAATTTGTCACATTGGCTACTTTTTTTTTTTTCCTTTTTTGGTACCGAGAATCAAACTTGGGCCCTTGCACTTGAAAGGCAGGCAGCAAAACCACTGAGCCAAATCCCCAGCCCACTTTTTTCCTTTTGATCAGATTCCCCAGGAGTCTATCTGTTTTATTAATCTTTACCAAGAACCAAGTTCTGGTTTCATTAATCCTTCTGTCTGATCACTTGTTTTTTGGTTTATTCATTTCTGCTTTTTACTGATTTTCTTCAACTTTATTTCATCATTTTTTATTTCCTATATCTTCTCACATAGTCGTTAATTCTCAGCCTGCCTTTGTTCTAAAATTATTTTTTTGTTTTGTTTTGTTTTTTTATTTTTGGTATCGGGGATTGAACTCAGGTCCTTGCGCTTGCAAAGCAGGCCATCGAACCACCGAGCTAAATCCCCGGCACATTCTAAAATAGTCAATTAAATTTAGAACCTTCTCTAAGAATAATTTAAATTGTATACAGTAGCAATATTTTCAGTATAATCAGCTCAAAATATTTTCTACTGACATTATGACTTATTTATTCCCTCTTTTTTGAGGGGTTGTTTGTATTTTTGAGAGAGGGTCTTCTTTTTTTTGTTTGTTTGTTTTTTGATACTGGGGATTGAACTCGGGTCCTTACACTTGTGAGCCAGTCAGTGGAACCACTGAGCTAACTCCCCGGCCCAAGACAGGGTCGTCTAATGTAGCTCAGTGCCACTAAGCTAAATCCCCTGTCCTAAAATCCATTTTCTTTCATAGGTAGAAATTTACATGTTTTTCCCTCAACTGAACAAAACAGTTGACAATTCAGCTCTGTCAAAATATCCAGCCAAGTAGTGTTATAAACTTAGATGATTATTTGTGGATAGACATTTAGAGCTGAATGTTATTAAACAGGATAATCATTAAAGATTTTTGGAGAAATTTTAAGCTCCAACTATTTGAATAATACTCCACTTAAATAATACTGCAGGAACTGGGAAAACTCTGGAATTTGTGCTGTTTTAGTTAGGGTTTTAGAAGTGATGAAGTATGTACAGACCTTTCTTTCTCTTGTGGTTGCTTCCTGACTCTCAGCAGGAGGCAAGCAAAAATAAAGAGCTTTAGGGGATTTTTTTTGCAAACATCAACTGTATGTTGTGATAGTTTATTTAATCTAATGAACAGTGTAGTTTCTCTCTATATATTTAAAGCTCTTATTCTTATACATTTATTATGCAAATTTATCAAATGGTTATATGAATCTTAGCAGTAAAATGATAAGAGATAAAGTTGTTTAATCAGGAGCATTTTTGGCAGCTTTGCATATAACTACAATAGAAATGGCTGTAGTTCTAGAGCTGTGCAATTTGTTAAAGCTGGAAATGATTAGAAGTGCAATAAAGATCGTATAAATCTCTTTAGGCTATGAGTTTGCTTTAGGCATTTCATTAATATTGATTTCTTGTGTAGTTTTTTTATTCTACTGAATGAATTTCAGTGTATAGTGTATAGTACTGCAGTAAAAATTAAAACAGCATGTTTTCATGGTTTTTGACTTGTTCTTCATTACCTAGTTATGGCTTTGATTCAAGAAATATTTTTTTTCAAGTCACTGAACAAGAAAAAGATTCTGCATCTTTCAGCTACTATACAGGAAATCAGTTTTTCAATTTTTAGTAGAAAATGTTTTGTGAATTCTAAATATTTCACAGCATCCTGTTTTGTTCATTATAGTATTTCATATTCTTTATTACCTGACCATGAACGTTTTGTTCTTTTTGAGATAACTTAGATTATAAAATCCACTCTTTTAAAATATAGAATTTAGTGATTTTTAATACATTCACCAGGTTGAAAGTCATTACCACTATCCGATTTTAGAACACTTTCATTACCCCAGAAAGAAATCCTGTGCCTACTATTAGTCACTTCTCCTTCCTCCCACCCCATCTCTGGCAACCTATTTTAGATTTCTTTTTCTTTTTTTTTTTTTTTTTTTTG